GGTTACAATTAAGAAGCACACAAAGAGAGAATGTACCTGCGCCACTGAAAACGATTCTGAGCCATGTGGTTTAAGGTCTCTAACCATCGGTGACTTTCGTCTCGCGGACTCCAACCAGATAGCCTACATCTATTAACATGACTCAGTCAACTTGTCAGTGACTTCATAGATTTCTGTCATGTTTTGGTCTGGCCGCCCCTAACTTTCTTCCAGTCTACTCCTACACCACAAAACATAGCTTGTCGCGGCAGTCGGTGGTTGGGCATACAAAACACATGTCCCAATCACCTCAACTGATGAAGTTTCACCACTTCATCTATTGATCTGCCATTCTTACTTAGCACCCGATTCCTAATAACAGCGTTGCTCACTCGGGTGTCCCAGGAAATAAAACTGTATTCAACTATTTAGATGTAGCTAGTTATGTTTATGCCAATGATCATTTCGTCAGTCGTTCATGTCTATAAATAATTTGGAATTAATGATAGCTACATAGCTGATGCACTTGCGCCATTGCAAACGATTTTTAGCCATGTCGTTCAAGGTCTCTAACCATTGGTGACTTTCCAGAGGAGTATACAGAGAGTAGATTCAAAAGTATTCGAGTATATATTATTTTGTAAATGATAGTAACAATAGCGTTGGCGTCTTAAAGTCACTTAAAATAATTCATCAATTTATTACATTTACACTGAATATCAGTCATTCAAACAGATTTATTCTTACTTTGCTATAGTGACCTCGTTCAGAAATACTTGTTGAACAATTCTTCTTTCTATGACACTTATCAATTTATCTGACCTATACTCACTCAGTTAGTCAATTCTGTAATAAAGATTATAACAACTATTTTATTTCTAAATAAGTTTGTTTCTATGTATTTAGTTCTTTATTCTAAAATATTTTCATATCCAACCCACAAACTTTCGCATTAAGCATATAATTAACGTTTATAATGTTTAATCACTTTTATTGTTCCTCTTCTGAGTCTTTATTAATGAAAGCGTTTCCGATATTATGATATAAAGTTTATAAGCTGATTTCTGAATGATTGATACTCTTATATTTAAGCTGTAAGCAACTGATGATGAGAAATCGAAAATGATGATGAATTCATGTTATTGTATGTACCACGTTCACTGTTCTTGTTTGAGTTAATTTTAAAAAAATTAGAAAAGTTTTAAGAAGGTACATACTTGTGCTATTGTGTTTAGTGTGATTGTTTTAATCACATTATGTGAATGATTTGTTGCAGTCAGTTGCAACGTAGAACTTCGTACATAAGTACATCAGTTCATGTTGCCATACCATATCAGCACAGAGATGTAATTGTCAATTCAAATCCAATAGTAGAAGAGGTAGTAAAGGTATGAGAAGTAATCGGAGAGGTTAGGATTAGAAGATATTATTATTCAAGAAGTATGCTTAAATGAGAAAAGTTTAGAAAGTCAAAACTAGAGGTGCATTAACATAATGTAACTTCGTACAATTTCGGCTATTTACAGATAAAATTAATTTTTATTGTAAAAAATTAGCCCAGTAATTCGTCGCAGATTTCTATACTTAGCATCCACAGCCAATTCTTTTATATGACAGCTACAGATATTATGCAGTGGCCGAAATCGGAATGAATACGGATTGAATCCGTATAACCTAACGGTTAAAAATCGAATGCTTCAAAACCAACAAACCAACTTTCTAATCACGTGAAAAAGCTTTGTACACATTCAACTTTTATTGTGCAGTAGTATTAACTCAAGAGAAGCAGGAAGATATTTAAAATAAAAAAAGGGAAACTAGAAGTGGAGAAGAAAGGAAAATAACTGTAGTAAGAATTGTTTGAAAATAATTACAACTTTTAAAACTTACACTTAAATGTATGTGCGTTTTTGTCACTTCCAAGTCAACACATGAAGATGAACGTATACCAGGTAAACTGATATTGATTTTTAAACGATCAGGTGGACGTAAAGGGTTCACATCATTAGAATATGTACAATCACTTAGGTCAAAATCTGAACTGTATGTTATAGAATAATCAGGTTTAGTGGGTGAACTTGTATTATTCGATTCAACAGTCTCTAGAATTAGAATAAAAAACAATATATATGTATATTGCACAACATTAATGTTTACAAATAGTTTTCGGTATTGCTTATGGTATCTGAATTTTCAAATACTTCAGTGCTGATCTTCAGTACATATTTGTTAGTGTTGAGAAAAACATCCTATTTAGAGTAGACCAAGTCAAGATGTGGCATCAGTCGATAAAGTCACTTACTGTTAGTTTGACTAGCATCGACAAATGAAGACTATCTGGTAGGGGTCCGTGTGATCAGTGGATTTAGAGAGTTTGAGCGGCATGGTTCATGATTGCTTGCGATGGCACAGATACATTCACTCTTTCTCTCCCTCTCAATCTTGAATTCCAATATCCTTTCACATATATTTTCCACTGTTTTTTCAAATCATATTGACAAGACTTAATCGTTCCTCTTATAATTGCTACTATAATATTCTGATATTTTATTTTCTTATCTTGTTGTGCTACTTCTGGGGTATGAAAACTTGGGCCAAAGCAGATTTGTACCTGGCTTTATGTTGAAAATATCTATCTGTTTAGCATAAAGAAACCAGCTCTTTCACTTTTAAACCGTGCAGTTAGTTAAAGGAAGCTCTTAGTTATTAAATTGTCAGATTGGAGGACATAAACGTTGTATATGTCAAGCGAATATGGTAAATTACTTTAATATTAAGTTAGATACTCAAGATCAGTTAGTTAGCAACAACGCAGAACTTCGTACATAGGCACATCAGTTCAGATTGCCATACCACATTATCACAGAGAGATGCAATTGTCATTTCAAATCCCATAGTAGTAGAGGAAGTAGAAGTATTAGCGGTAATAGGAGAGATTATGGTTCGAGGATATTATTCAAGAAGTAGAATCTAGTGAAGCAAGGGCTGCATTTCTACAATTGAAAAATATCTGGAACTCCAAACAACTTTCAACCAAAACAAAATCAAGATTTTCAATACTAATGTCAAAATAGTTCTACTGTATGGAGCGGAAACATGGAGAACTACCAAATCCATCATCCACAAGATACAAGTGTTTATTAACAGTTGTCTACTCAAAATACTTCGGATTCGTTGGCCAGACACGATCAGCAACAACGAACTGTGGGAGAAAACAAACCAGACTCCAGTGGAGGAGGAAATCAGGAAGAAGCGGTGGAAGTGGATAGGACACACATTGCGGAAAGCACCTTACTGCGTCACGAGACAAGCCCTCACATGGAACCCTCAAGGAAAAAGGAAAAGAGGAAGGCCAAAGAATACAATACACCGAGAAATAGAGAAAGATATGAGAGGAATGAACAAACATTGGACAGAACTGGAAAAGGGAGTTTAGGACAGAGTTGGCTGGAGAAAACTGGTGGGCGGCCTATGCTCCATTGGGGGTAACAGGCGTAAGTAAGTAAGTAAGTAAGAATCTAGTGAAATAAACTTATAAAGAAAAAGATAAAGTGATGAGGAATTCAGAAGGTTAGGATTTGAGAGAACACAAAACAGCATAATCTAGTAAATCAAATTTGAGAAGAGAAAGATGAAAGTCATGGGGAATACAGATAAGAATTTAAGAGAACACAAAGAGCGGATGCACCTGCACCACTGAAAACGATTTTGACATGTCATTCAAAGTCCCCAACCATTGGTTACTAATGTCTCGCCGACCCTAACCAGATAGTCTCAAGATAGTCCTTATGCTGATTAAAATTCAGTAATCAAAAAGTAATAGTCAATGGATACAGCTATTACAATTATTACATTTTGAACTGCAAATGTTCAAAATATCAAACCACAGATATTGGTTAGTAAAACTAGCTATTAAAAGATATTTATTGGGTTATACCTTATTTGTTAGAAATCCCTTCAAATTATTTTGTTTCTCATTCAATAAATGCTTTTAACCTGGATTTTACTGTGTTTGAAGCGATAAAGACTTGTTTGTGAGTGAATAAAGGTAACGACAAACACGATATTTTTCAACTAGATAATCATCAAAACGTTTGTCATCAACCACTGTCGTGATTAATCAGTAACAGGTTGCTAATTTGGTTGTATTACTTGTTAAGACACTAAAAAATATTGTAACCAGCGAGGTAATTGTTGAACTGTGAAAGAAATCTTTATTTTTATGTAATGCAAAGTTGTATCTAATCTGGTTTAGAAATAATGGTAAAGACAATCCATAATTTGCATCCAAATGTCGTAAAAGATCATATATCTTATACAATTGACGCATGAGGACTTGTCATGACTGATTCTACAGACTACACAAAAAGAGAAAATGCGAACTAAATCCCAAGACTAAACAGAACACTTTAAGCAACGCTATAATTTACTTTTGACTATCCCTTAAAGTTACGCACTGTTTAACTTTACTTAGGAAAAACATGTCGAAACTTTTGATAAAGTATTGAAGATAAAAATGAAATCCTAAGTGCAATGAAATGGCAATTACAGGAAGATTGATTGCAAACATTTTTTAAAAATTAACAGGACCTGTAAGTCATACTGCTGAGTAAACTAGTGTGTTGATATCAGAGAGAATCCTTAAAAGTTTAGGATTGATAATTATCAAGGGTATGTTCTAATAAGCAGTTCACTCTTCGTTGAATTTTAGGAGAATTATTCATTTACATAGGTCACTGATTGGTAAAATGAACAGTATAACTCACTTTGGTGACTATTATAGCAATGAACTCAAGTCTTCTGAAAGTCTTTAGTAGAGACGTACAATGTTGTTTCATAATGAATGCGCCTAGACTGACCATAGAAAGTAAACCAGTTGAACACGTCGACCATTAATTATCATGAAAGCTTCACTATCCCAGCATGAATCAGTCAGTCAGTCAGTCAGTCAGTTGCAACGTAGAACTTCGTACGTAAGTACATCAGTTCATGTCGCCATACCACATCAGCACAGAGATATAATTGTCAATTCAAACCCAATAATAGAAGAGTTAGTAAGGGTATTAGGAGTAATCGGAGAGGTTAGGATTAGAAGATACTATTCAAGAAGTATGATTCAGTGAGAAGAGTTTAGAAAGTCAAAACTAGAGGTGTTGGAGAATCCAGAAGATTAGGATTTGAGAGAACACAAAGAATACATGCACCGGCGCCATTGCAAACGGTTTTGAGCCATGTCATTCAGCGTATCTAACCATCGATTATTATCATCTCGCGGACCCCAACCAGGTATTCGACAATTACCGACATGGCTAAGTCCACTCGTCAATGACTTCATGGATTTCTGCCATGTTTTGGTTTGGCCGCCCCTAACTTTCTTCCAACCTATTCCTACACTACAAAACAAAGCTCGACGAGGCAGTCGGTGAATAGGCATACGCGACACCTGTCCCAACCACCTCAACTGATGAATTTTCATTACATCATCTATTGATCTGCCATGTTTAACTAGCACCCGATTCCTAATAACAGCGTTGCTCACTCGGGTGTCCCACGATATGCGAGAAATGCTTCGAAGACACCTATGATCGAAAACCAATAAACGACCAGTATCTTCTACTCTTACTGGCCATGTTTCACAGCCATAAAGTAAGACGGAGCGAACTACTACGCAGTACACTCGTCCTTTAGTCAGTAAACGAATATCTCGCCTACGCCATAAGTGACGCAGATTGGCAAAAGCCAATCAAGCTTTCTGTATCCGAGCTGAGATTTCGTCAGTCACCAGGCCATCAGCACTGATGAGACTCCCAAGATAAGTGAAGCGGTCTACACGTTCGACTACTTCACTGCCTATCACTCGTTCAGGTGCCGATGAAACCCAATCTTGAAGCAACATTTTGCATTTCGAGGGGAAAAACCGCATACCGAACATGCATTGTTGCTTAGGGTGGTCAGAAGACTCTGCATTTTGTCAGCGTCTTCAACAAATAGGACAATGTCATCGGCATATTCTAAGTCAATAAGCGAGCCACCTGGTAAAAGGTCTACTCCTGAAAATTCAGACGAGGATAAGGTTATTTCTAGGAGCATGTCTATGATAAAATTAAACAAGAATGGCGAAAGTGGACATCCCTGACGGACACCACTTGATGTAGAGAATTCAGATGACAGTTCGCCATAAGCTCTCACTCGACCAGTGGTGTTCGAGTAGAGAGCTTGTATGAGGTTAATGTACTTCTTTGGTACACCTCTCAATGACAGACACTGCCACAGAACCTCACGATCCCAGCATGAATAAAAACGCCCCGCCCGAGTTATTGGATGTAGTTTATGAGGTAGTAGTCGTGGCCTATGGTTCAAAAACTTCGCTGACGTAACTGTGAATTAATGGTAACGATGAAGATGAATTTATCATTTATCTGTCGTTAAGTACGGTGGCTGGTATCACTCTATATTACGCATTCATGGATAAATATTTGGGTGCCTCTTTATACAAAGGTTTGTGTTTTTGAAAAAATAGACACAATTCACGGATAAAATCGGTCAATAATTCTAACTAGCAAGGATTTTATAAAGTGAATAGACCTCAGTTATACGGTATACACGTGAATACAGATATTGCGTATGAATAATCTAAGTACCTGGTTCATAATCACTAGCCTACCTTTCAGTGTGGTCAAAAAATATTGTTTTATTAAGAATCGGGTACCAGATTTGAACAAATAAAAACAATGCATTTTCAACCACAAAATAAGGTTTTGAAAATATTTTAAAAACTTACCATCACTTTTATTGGTCCCGTTAGATGAACTATTAAGATTACCACAATTAGGAAAAGAAGACAGCATTTTAATTGCTTGCTTCTGTTCTTCAGAATGACACAACTTTAAATCTTCAGTTTCTCGTCTTTTTATCTCAGTTTGGCGTTCTTCATAATCAGAGCGGCGACGCCTGATTACTGTCGGTCTAGAAACCCCTTTGTAAGATACACCCTTTAAGACATGTACAGCCTTAAGTAAATAATCCTCACGAGCAGAATCAGTAAGAGATGACCCATTTCGAGAGCATCCTGACTCACTACCTTTCTGAATATCGAATAACTGTCGTGCTTGCGCGAAAGTTTTTCCAAAACACAAGTTATATTGCTTTTGAACACCCTCGACCGCTGTTGTATCTAACAATCTTCTCAAAGCAACGGATGACTCAGCTAACTCGAACGCTTTTGGATTGAATGCCACATCATAAACCTAATTGTTATAAACGTAAAAATCATGAATAGAGATCGTGTCGAGTACTTTTCTCAAAAACGCCAAGTACTTTGTGAAAGAACTTACCATGGCACGTTGTTTTGCCTTGTCAATATCCTCACGAGGTGGTGTGAAGCAATGAGGAAGACTCCAGTATACACCCCCTTTTCCTTGTCTAGAGGAGTCGTTTTCCGTCGGTTTCATTTCCGGACATTGCAGTTTGTCGGATTTGCAAACATTTATGAAAACCTTCACACTTTCTTGGTTCGACTCATCTTTATCACTTATTCTACTTTCGGGACACTGAAGAACACCTGGCCAATGACGCGTTTTTAAACAATGTCCAGGGGTAGGATTGACGAACACCACATCCATCCCTTGCTCTAATTCCATCATCTTTATTTCATCTTCATATCTAGAGGATCCAAAATACAGTTAAAATTAGTTGATTATTGACTGAACCACATCTTTCTAAAAAATCGGTTGCTTCGAAAATCTAGGTATTTGGATAAGACGTATTATAATATTTGACCTCATTTTATACCACTAATGTTTAGTTTGACAATGAAATATACGATTAAAGAGGATTGTACAGTAGTCAGTGAAAAAAAAGCAGTTATTTATTACTTTTGCGTTGATAGAACGGTTGTTGACTTAACGTCACTTTAACGCTAACTACTTACACTTCGAGTACAGAACGTTTTAACAGTCAGTAACTAAGTCAACTGCATGTCTTAATTTTGGAGCGAGTGTTGTTCACAGCACGATTTATGACATGCAATGGAGCGTGCCAAATAAACCCATTGCTGAGTTGATTCAGTCCTATGTGCTAAGTAATTACGTATTCCATTGAAGACACTTGGAGATACAAGGATGCATCTGCGCTTTAGAACAAAAGTATGGATCACATAAGATTAAAGCTGATACGATCAAATGGCGAGCTCAGTTTGTGGGATTTTTCAGTGTAGATGAAGTAACGCGTCTGGGAACACAAGTATGTCAGACAGACATACAGGTACAACGCAGAACTTCGTACATAAGTACATCAGTTCAGGTTACCGATACCACATCAGCACAGGGACGCAAATGTCAGTTCAAATCCAAGAGTGATAGCGATAGTAGAAGTACTAGCAGTAATGAAGAAGACTATAGTTCGAGGATATGATTTGATAAGTATGATTCAGTGAGATAAATTTGTAAGGAGTATATATGGTAATATCATTCCTTAAATTCAATTATAATGACTTAAAACCTCTTAAACTGGGCAAATCGTAAGTATCTCTTACCCAATACTGTTAAATAGGAAACGTTAACAGCAACAGGCAACTGGACTCTTATTTCTCACTCCACTCTAACGTTGTAGGAAACCTGGGGATTCCAACATGAAACAGTACCTCTCCATTTTTGGGCTTCAGCCGACAAAGCCTAAAATATTGCTTAGTATTTCTTTGGAATATACAGTAGCATAACAGATTCACAATTTGGTATTGACCACATCAAGCACTTAACACCTAACCTGTAAAGTCCTATTATGGTGTTATGTTAGGTCAGGAAGCTTACTACCCAATTTCAACATTTTTGGTGAAGGGAATAAATAGTTAAAAATAAGCTGTCTTTTGGTGAATGTAAATGCAATGATCATATACGACCCAAATCATACTTTTTCTTGTTAGCAGGATCTGCTATTTCTTCCGCATATTCTCTAAATAATTTCTGAAACTCAGGGTCTTTGAAAGCTTTTTTTAATCTAGTAATCTCATCCGACGTTAAATCTATCCCACCGGAGTCTTCCATCACCAGCTACCCGCGAAAAAGAAAATGCGGAATAACCTTGACAACGAACTTTCAACTATACAATGAAACAAATTATTTCGAAAGATAAGCGCTTTTTGAGATAAATAAGTCTTCATAAAAAAGTGATCAATCTGCTAGTACCTGCTAGATTATCTCAAAGATTTCACTCAAAAACACGACAAAGGGCTTCTGGTACCAGTTCTATTCTTCGACTTTAAGAAAGCTCTTGTTAAGGTCCCACACAAAAGACTGCCCCTTAAACTTAAGTCATTCAGTATCAGTAACACACTATTTTCTTCTTCTATATCATTCCTGAATTGACCCCAATAAATGGTAAAATACAACGATTGCCTTCCATCACCAAGACCAATAACCAGTGGAGTTATCCATTGAGGTGTATTAGGCCCACTCTTGTTTCTGATGTACATAAGCGATATATGTAAACTATAAAATTTGGAAGATCATTCTTATATGAGGATGATATCAAAATAATATACAGCTATAGGTCTGAAGATCTGGACGAAAAATTAGCCACGACCTAGAGTGAACTTGATAACTTATCTACTTGGAGCAAAACATGGCAGCTACCTTTCAACCACAACAAATATGATATAATGCGTTTTAGTCAGCATCACGATGAAAAACCTAGAAAAATTTAGGGTTTTAACACTCATATCAGGGCATGAACTACATATTCATCATTCCAGAAGACTAGAATTTTAAGAACGTGCTTCTTCTATTTACTCTACAACTAGGTGGTTCATGGGGTATATATATATATATATATATATTGCACCTGCACTACCATCCATACAGGTACTACGAGATGACTGACAAATCCCCCCACTGCAGCCAACAGTAGCAGGTCACGTCTCTGAGGTGCCAGTCGTTACAATCGGAGTTTTAAAATTTAAATTCGAGTCATTATCTTCTAATCTTTCACAGCACTATTAGTTTTTATTGACAGTAAACAGATAAATTGTATTCCTCCTTGTCCACGTATTAACAGTTTATCAAGTTTTCATTTCCCCAATTCATTGACGTCCAAACATCCTGCTTTCTTACCTATATATCGCTTTAATGATGAAATTTTAACACTCTTTTTCTTTATTTTAATTCATCAGCTGCCTATCGTTCCTATCTTCGAACTACCTATTAACTGATCCATATCTTACAACTTATATCATTAGTTAACGTAATAGCAGTGTGATATGCTACGTGGATATTTAGTCCAACATACAGAAGCCAAAGCTTTCAGGTTTGCTTGTGGCGTGAACACAGTAGAGAAAGAGTATCCCGACAAGACGCACAAAAAGTAGGGCTTAGACTACAACACATCATTTAAAATCTATCACTAAACTCAGGAGAGCCTAATATCACAAAAGGAGGGAGGGTGGTGTATCTGACCAACATTTATGATGGTGCGGCGATAACTTCAGTCTAGCCATGTTTGTGGGGCAGAACTTTGTGTTTGGTTACGGCTCTTTATTATCTAGCAGGGTATAGCTAATCAGTGATATTAATGTTACTTTTTCTAGTTAACCACGTCTACGACTCAATCTCGTAACCCTGAATTGGGTTCACTTCCCACTAGGAAATCCTATTACACGATCTGGAAAATTATGGGGAAAATGAGCTCACTCGTGACGTCTTGAGCTAAAGAGTTAAAAAGTAGTGGGATCAATAACATACCTCTAAAGCATCAGATCACTTTGCATTATTTTTATATTCTGTAAATCAGTACTCTTTTTTAAAATTTAGTTCTTTCGAATTTCCCCTATTTATAAGATCACATGCCAATTCGTTATCTTACTAGTGACCTGTCTTCATTAGTCTACATAAGTGCAGGTAACTAGTTAGTCTTCTCTCTTTTTTTTTCACTTTCTCCTCGTTCCAGCTCCCTGTCCGTCCTATTTCCAAACTACCCATTAACTGACTCATCTTACAAATTATACCATTCGTTTACTTAAAATCAGTGTGATATGCTATGTGGATATATATTATCTAGCAAAGTTGTCTGGATTGCTTGTAATGTTGGAGCTAGTAGAGAATGTTAATTCCAATAAGGTGTACAAAAAAAATTGAGAGTAGACTAGAGACCATTATTTACAATTAACCATTAAACGTAAGAGAGCCTAACATCACAAAAGGAGGGAGGGTGGTGTATCTGACCAGCATTCATGACGCTGGGGCGATAACCTCAATCTACCCATGTCTGTGTGGCAGAACATTTTGTTTGCTTACGGCTCCTTACGATATAGCAGGATGTAACAAATCAGTGATATTGATGTTACTTTTCCTAGTTAACCTCGTCTACAACCCAAGTCTGTAACCTTGCACTGGTTTTTACTTCCTACCGAGAAATCCTATTACAAGCTGGTCTGGACAACTATACTAAAAAAGAGCTCATTCATAACTTCTTCAGCCTCAGAGGTAAAAAGAAAAAGAATAAATAAAACCAAAAAATTATATCACTGATCCTCTTTATTATATTTTGTAAATCAACTTTATTACTAACAACTTGGTTCTTCTGAATTTCCTCGATTCTTTCGACTAACTTCTCATTAGTTATCTCACTACTGAATTGTCTTCATTAACCTACATAAGCGCAGGTGTAAAGTGTTCTGTTATTAAAAATGTTTGGGTAAACATACCTTTGTTTTATCCATAAACGTATGTGCAAAGCCATTGTTCGGCTTTGAACATGAATATTTTCTGTTCTGCTCCTCGTCCCGTTTTCTTTATTCCTCTTTTTTCAGAACCTTATTCCAATCCACATATATTAGTCTGGATATTTGCAGTAGACTTGGTTACCCTACCCAAGAACATGTGAAATCATTAGCTGACGAATATCAACCAGACCTTTGTACATTTACCGCATCAATTCTTGTTATATGAAAACCCATCTGTTTCATGAATCGTTTCTCAGCCCATAAGATGATTGTCGTAACGCAACCTTCGTAACTTGCGCCAATTACTCGCTTTGTACATTCCACCTTTAAGAAAACAATGAATCTTGTGAAATATTTCAGTAACTGTATAACGTTTTAAAAAAAAGTATGTTGCTAATCTTAACATTTTGATCTTGCCTGTAAATTGGCATGTCTCTTGTATCATGTTTGTTATTTGAGAATAAATTATTATTATTATTATGATTATTATAATATAAGAAAGGTCTAAGTAGTCACACCTTTGTTTTATCCGAGAATATTTTCTGTTTTGCTCCTTGCCTCTATCTGTTTATTTTTGTTTTTCATCACTTGACTGTAATCCTTAAATATTAGCCTGGATAATTGCAGAAGACTTGGTTACTTTACCCGAAAGCCTGTAAATTTATTCTCTGACGAATATCAACATGATCTTTGCATATTTACGTCATCAATTCTCGTTATATGCAAACCTGGATTTATCTTGCACTGCTTCTCAGCCAATAGTGGTTCGTCATAATTTAACCGGCGTAATTCGCGCCAACGATAGCATTGTACATTGCAGAGTTTGAAACATTATCTATAGTTTTATGTGAAAAATGTTGGACTTCTATGTGAAGCTAATGTATCTTATGAAATATTTAGATTTCTGAACAACCCTTTACAGAAAATCTGCTATCAACTTTAATATTTTGATCTTGCCTGTAAATTGGCATGCCTCTCAAATTGTTATTACTATTATTATTACTAATGAAAGTCAATATTAAGCTGCCGATCAGTCAGTCATTTGATAGCACGTCACAAGGTAGCTAGAGAAACTTACAAAGATAGTTCGGATCCAGATGTTTAAAAGCATGATAGCCATATACCGCTCGTAATAACATGGCTGGTATTCGTTTCCGGTTGTTCAATGGGATAAATCGTAATATAAACCTACTAAGTAAAATTTCAAACCACCATTCCCATCAGGACGTATACAGGTAACAAGGCAAAATCGAGGGACCAATGACACATGGAAAGTATCTTTCCATCTGTCGAAGTTATCAGCCATCTTAACATATTCTAGTTTTGGCTCAGTATGTTAAACATATCTGTAGGAACAGGCGAAGCGACTGACCTACTTGTACTATCAATACCAAAGGTACCATTTGCAAAGGCACAAACTGAAAAATCATGTTTGTAGGATGCTTAAAATGAACATTGAACATGTATATTTTGGACCATTATTCCTCACCAAAACTACCGTTTTCAGTGTATCTGTAATTTCTGTTGAAGTGACACCACATGAGAGTATTTTTGTACCTGTATTTAACTATGTTGGCTTCAACAATGTTTCCTGTTTGCATAGACTTGATGGTACGCTTGGGACTTCTTTTCTGGTTATGATTCATTGTCTACATGTCTATTTATTGATTTATCAGAAAGTTAGTCGATTATGGGAAGTGGCATGTAGTTTAGTGAGTGCCAAAGATAATACCACAACATTTGCTTGAACTTAACACGTGCAGCTGTTAAACTTGTGAAGGTAACACTACTTGGACGCAAAGCCTACTATTTGTAAACATAATAATCGTAAACGTAGCAATTGAAATCAATTTTGTCCTGATGATCGCCTTATTGATGCACGAACCGATATTCAGTCATTTTAAATAAACCAAGAGCTGACTTACTTACATGAACCGGAGGAGAAATTTCAGACTTCAGAGAGTTCCACGAAGAAATTAAAACTCAAGAAGATAGGTTTATTCATTTTTCCATTTTATCCTCTGAATGGTATCTGCCAGGAAACGCTGAAAAATTTTAATGGTAAGGGTGTTCCGTTTCCAGTATGAAAAACAATCTGACCGCCGAAGTCGTCGCTAATCATCCGAGATCTCGGTATACTTAACGCAATTGTGAATACCTCACTAGTTAAAACCTGTGATTAGGTAAAAAAGGAAAAAAAGAAATAGTGTGTTTAAAAAAAACCAGTTTTCACAAAAAGCACTTCCGAAACCAAAGACTCGTCACAATGACAGGGCAGTCAAGTAGAGTGAAATGTCTGATCTCGAAACTTGGTTTGAACATATAACCGGGATGATAAAAGAGCTATCAAAAAAGCGAATGATTC